GGGTATTCTCGCACACAGCCCTGCCCAAAACAATACTCAGCCCAAAATCTCTGTGTGTGTGTGTGTGTGATACGCACTTTTTGTCTTTACTGGGGATTATGTTTACAGCTATGTTAATGGGAGAGTGAGTTCACACCTGTCAACCTGACCAGGGGTTTAATCCAAATTATAGAGGTTTAACCCAGCTCATACCACACACACACACATACACACTCAGAGACTCACAACAACAATGGACACAAACACACAGTCACATTTCCAGCACTGGAATGGGTTACCTAGGGAGGTGGTGGAATCTCCTTCCTTAGAGGTTTTTAAGGTCAGGCTTGACAAAGCCCTGGCTGGGATGATTTAGTTGGGGATTGGTCCTGCTTTGAGCAGGGGGTTGGACTAGATGACCTCCTGAGGTCCCTTCCAATCCTGATATTCTATGATTCTATGATTCCCGCCACACTCATATGTACACGCACGTTCACACAAATACACTCAGAGAGAGACAGACATACACAACAGAAACACACATTCACACTGTCTCTCTCACACACAACCTCTCTCACACACACCCACTGAAGCACACTTACAGACACATCAAGCTGGCAACCACAGAGATGCAACATGGACACATGGACAGTCCCACACACACAGTCAGACACACAGATAGTCACGTGCACATATGGACAGTCCCACCCACAGACAGACACACACAACCACACACATCTTAGTCCATTGTGGAAGCTCAATGGCTCAGAATCTGGGCTCCTTACCGGGGCTCTGGCTCTGGGTATAACCACAGTGTTTTGGGGGATACCTCCCCACACATCCTGTATCACCCCTGGCCTGTGCATCTCTCCTGACTCCCAGGTCCTCTCCCCTTTCTAGACCAGCTCCCCTTCCTGTCATAGCCATCTCCGCTGGGGCCCCCTACTGAGCCCCCTGCAGCACGGCCTACTGGGGGTCTATCTCTTGCCCACTCCGGCTCCAGGTGGGGCTGCTAGTCAGGGCATCTCTCTGGCTCTGTTTTAGCTCCTCTCCGCTCAGTTCTTGAGACCCCTCCGCGGGGGCTTTGCTCTTTACTAGGCAAGAAAAATGGCACAACACTCCATGCTCAGCCAGAACCAAGCTCAGCCCTGCCTCTCACACCCTCTCTATACCCAGCCCAGCAGGTTCTTCACCACCATGGAGGTTTCCAGTGGAACCCAACCTGGGCCATGGGGGAAGTTGGGAGACATACTGGACTCCACAGCATCCCCTGCTGCTCACTGAAGTGATGCCGATGTGGAGGGGTAGAGCTAGGGTGATGATAACATGACCTGGGCGGAAGTGGAGTGGGTGGGAAATCATCCACCTGAGTTATAAATGGATCATCATCCCATTTCTGATCATCACCTGGCAGAAAAAGAAGACCTTGAATTTTCCCCACACTTTGATTAGATTGAGACTCTTCCCAGACTGCGCCTCACTGAATCCTCCTTCACTGAGAAGCTGTACGGCTCTGGAATTCTGCTGTGATGCTGGTGTGAGCGGTGGGAAACCGGTGTGAGCGGTGGGATACTGGTGTTAGCCAGGGGATATTGGTGTTAGCAGTGGGATATTGGTAATCAAGGTGAGATATTGGTGTGAGAGGTGGGAAAATGGTGTGAATGGTGGGAAACTGGCATCAGTCATGGGATATTGGTGGTAGCAGTGGGATATTGGTATTTGAGGGGAGATACTGCTGTGAGAGGTGGGAAATTATTGTGAAATGTGGGATACTGCGGTCAGTCATGGGATATTGGTGTCAGTGGTGGGATACCGAGGTTAGCTGTGGGATACTGGTTTGAGAGCTGTGAAACAGATCTGATATGTGGGACACTGGGGTCAGTGGTGTGAAAGGAGGGACACTGGTGTTAATACAGGTGCCAGTGGTAGGATACTGGTGTTAATACAGGTGTCAGTGGTGGGATACTGGTGGCAGAGAAGTGGGATACTGGTATGAATGGTGAGAAACTGGTGTTAGCAGTGGGATCTTGGTGTCAGTGGTGGGATACTGGGGTGAGCAGTGGGAAACTGCTTTTAGAAATGGGATATCAGTGTCAGCCAGTTGAACAACTATCCCATCGCTTCACTGCCACGTAGGGGGAAAGGGCAGGTTCATGGGGCACAGACCGTGGAAGCCATGTTTGGCTCAGTAGCGCCCCCTGCTGCAGGTGAAAGTGATGGCGATATTAAAGGGGTGAATTAAGGTGATATTAACATGGGGGTGATTGGGCACCGCAAGGAAAACCCTGACCTGTATCTCCCCCAGATAGGGCAAGAGGTGATGGAGATGAGCTGGGGGTGGGGGTTATCTGTTATCCTGGGGGAGGGGGGTGTTTTTTACCTCCCCAATGCCCTGCCGGCACAAAGAAAGCCCAGCTGTTATCTCAGCAGGATTCTGCTATGGCCACCACCGTGACAGCCGGCTCAGCCGGCCCCATCACCATTATCAACAGGTTCATCACCCAGCCCCACACGCCCAGTGCTGCCATCCCGGCCAAACCGCAGCCCCTGGAGAAGTTCCACAAGGGGGAGCCGCTGGCCCTCGGGGTGAGTATCCTGCGGACTAAAAGGGATAACTGCTTTTGGGAGGCTTCCCCACCCACCTGGGACAATCAGCCAATGAGAGCTTGTTCTGATGATGTCATGGTTTGAAGGTGGTGTCCCATTGGCCAGATACTGGGGGATGGAATTCCAGAGGACGATTCCCTCCAGTGCTTAGGATACACTGGGTGGGTGTTTATGTGACCCAGCCCTGACTTCTTGCTGCCCCCATGTTTGCCCGGACATGAGCGTCGTGCCAGGGAGGAGCCTGGCCCAGTTACCCCAGAAACGCCAGCATGGTTCTTGCAGAGAAGGCAGCCGGCTGGGGCCAGCGTAATCCCCTGACAGTGGGCGCCTATTCCTCCTGTACCTGCCAGACCATGGGTCGCTGTCCCTGATCTCAGGCAGTGCTGGTGCGTCCCCCTGACCGTTGCTTTCCAAGCCCAGATCCCCCATGCCAAGCACCTGCATTCAGCCTGTCTATATTTCATCCTGTCTGACTTCCCTGGTGGGAGCCATGGGCTGGTTCACAGGGACTGTGGCTTCTGCTGGGATTATAATTCCCAAAATTTTGTGATGATAAACCCCATAGAAACATTACATTTGCCTCCGTCATGTCCCGGATCAGACTCACGGGCCCATCTAGCCCAGTATCCTTCCCAACTCTCCCTGCTGTGTCAGATCTGACCCATGGGCCTACTTACCCCTTCCCTACCATAAACTCGTAGTGTGGCCCTTGGGCAACTCCCTCAATCTTGCTCCATGCCTCAGTTTCCCTACCTGTACAATAGCGATAACAGCACATTTCTGCCTCCCAGGGGAGTGGGGATGGGGAGGATCAATGCATTAAAGACTGAGACTATGAGAGACTATGGCGATGGTAGGGCCGTCCCTAGGGGGGTGCGGGGCCCGGGACATCGGTTCCAAATTTCTAATCTGCCGGGGGCTGCTGCCCCCTGGCCCCACCCAGGCCCTGCTGCCACTCCACCCCTTCCCCCCAAGGCCCTAACCCGCCTCTGCTCCTTCCCAGCCCAGTTCTGCCCCCTCCCACAAGCACGCTGCGCCCTCCCTCCTCTCCCCTCCCTCCCAGCACCTCCTGATGCCGCAAAAAACATCTGATACATGGTAGGCGATAGGCGCAGATTGGCAGGGCCCACCGGTGGGCAGGAGGCGCTAGGGGAAGGGAGAGGTTCTCGTAGGGGGGGCTCCCCCCCCCCCCCCCCCCCGCCAGCTTGCCACTCGCCTCCCCATTCGCCTCCTCACCCCACTTGCCCACCCGCCTCCTGCCTCACCTCCCCGCCTGCGCGGGGCCCCGATTTGCCGTACCCAAGGGACGGCTCTGGATGATGGGCACCAGATAAATACCCAAGACAGAGGGACCTGTTAAGAGCACCAAGGGGAAAGCGACCCCTAGCGAGCTCGGGGTGCAGTGATGAAATTCTTGGCTTTGCTTCCTGGTAGATCACCCAGATCCTAGTTGGAGCCGTGCAGTTTGCTGTCGGGGTGGTGATGGCTATGGTCAACTCCTATTTGTGGATAATGGCATTGAGTGTGCACGTCCCGATATGGAGTGGGTTGCTGGTAAGTCTCCACCCCACCCTGCCCTCTGCCATCGGGTCACATGTAGGAGCAGGGAAGGATTGGAGCATGCTCAGTGCAGACAGATCCTTTGGAGAATCTAGCTGCCAAATTCTAACACATCTCCACGGAGCATGTGCAAATGGAAATTTTTCAAATGCTTATAATTTGGCCAAATTTGAGTGGACTTTTTATGGAACAGCAAAAGGCACATCCTTGTCCCTAGGGTGACCTCCCCCGCCACATTTCCAGGCCCTGCTCCAAAGCATGCAGGCACTAGAGCTTCTCAATGAAATAGTTGTAAGAATTATTTTTACCATGGGCAAAACAACATACTTTCCTCAGCCTCATTCTCAGCAATGGCTGAACAATTTGGACTGAAATTTATCCCCAAAATTGAGCCTGCAGCAGGCTGAGAATGGGAAATTTCAGCCCTAATAGTTAATGCTTGGCAAAGTTATCAGCACCTGAAAGTAGGATCTTATAATGGGATGTGTTGGGCAACCTTACCTCTAGGTGGCGCTAGCAGCAGACCCTACAATAGAATACGTGGGGCTCTAATCCCACCAGGCAGTTTGCCAGGGCGCCGGAGAGAACTATACAGACCTGCAGGGTCAGGCTGTGGGTGGATCAGCACAGACGTTGGTTCCCATGTGGCCACCGGCCTTTACCCTGTCTCCTGCTGGACTACCTCTCCCAAGCTCACCCTTGTCTAGTATTTCCCAGCATGCATAGCACCTATCCACCCCGCTGTGCTCCGTGAGCGCTAGACACAGGCACAGCCCTGCTTCTAACCCTTTCTCTCTTCCCCTCACAGTACATCATCTCGGGGGCCCTCTCAGTGGCGGCTGCAAAGAATCCCAAGATACAACTGGTACGAATTGATGCCTCAGTTTCCTTCCTTCCTTCCTATCTATCTATCCCTGTACACCCCCTCTATCTATCTATCCCACCCACCCCCACACACACCCCCTCTATCTATCTATCTATCTTATACCCACAATCACTCGTTCTTTCCAAAGTGTTTGAATTATTTGAACTGTACCTCAATCCAGCTTCGCGATTGAGCCCCTAAATGTTCTGTCTGAGCGAGGGTTTGGCCATTAGGCTGTACTGCTACAGCAATGGGAGTGAACATCATGATCACAATAATGGGATGTCATCGTGTGGGCTCTCCCCACAGCCAGGGTGGGGCTGGGCTCTGTGCCATGTTGCCCGCGTGTGTCCAGCTGGGCTCTCAGCGCACGCCTCTCTCCACCCCCGTCTCCCATCCAGGTGAAAGGCAGCCTGGGAATGAACATCATCAGCTCGGTGCTGGCCGGATGTGCCATGATCCTGTACCTGATCAGCTTGATGGAATCCAGGCATCAGAACAGGTGTAACTGGTACCCGGAGGAATGCATGGCTTATGTGAGTACTTGATACCGCAGCACGAAGGCAGGGCTGTCAGCGCATCCACCCCTGCTTCCACAGGGACCCACCTGCCTCCCATGGCCACCCCAGGGACTGCCTTACCCAGCTGGCAGGGGCCTTTCCTCTCCAAGGGTGCTGGCTCTGATCCAGCCCCAGGGCAGGGGCTGGGGAATGGGACATGAGGCCTTTCCTCTTATGGGGGTAGTTGCTCTGACCCCGCCCCAGGGTGGGGGCATGGCTGGCTTGGGGGGCAAGGTTGAGGGAATGGGACATGGGGACTTTGCCCTGTAGGGAATTCAACAGCTTCCTGTTGGCAGAAGGTAACCATGGCCTGCATCATGGTTCTGTTCCTGTTCACCCTCCTGGAATTCGTTGTCTCCATCTCCACTGCGGCCTTTGGGTGCAAAGCCATCTGCCGGAACAGCTACAGCGAAGTGGTAATGATGCGTCACCATGGGGCCTGTATTAATTGCAGGGACGGTGGAGGGGTCTAGTGGCTTACAGGAGGAGTGGTGGGAGCCAGGACACCTGGGTTCAATTTCCATCTTGGGATGGGAGTGGGAATCATAGAAGAGAATATCAGGGTTGGAAGGGACCTCAGGAGGTCATCTAGTCCAACCCCCTACTCAAAGCAGGACAAATCCCCAGACAGTTTTTTGGGTTTTTTTACCCCAGTTCCCTAAATGGTCCCCTCAAGGATTGAACTCACAACCCTGGGTTTAGCAGGCCAATGCTCAAACCACTGAGCGATCCTTCCCCCCCATCTAGTGGGCTAAAGTAAGTGTGTGGGGGTGGGGGGAGAGATTGGGAGCTAGGACTCCAGGGTTCTATACTGGGAGCACATCACTGGGGTGTTGCTGGGCTGAGAGGCACGCTTGAGTCCTGTCCTGATAGGTTTACCTTTTCCTGCAGTCTGTGGTCATTTACCAGAACATGGTGCCTCCAGGTGATCCAACTACTGCCACCAACACCCACACTGACGCTGTTGCCTGCACTCCTCCCCCTTACACGGACATCGCCACCCCATGAGCTGCTCCCTAGGGCAGCCACTGCCTGGATCACCAGCTCCTTACATACCGTGGAGACCAAAGCAGCAGAATGGGAACTGGTCATAGCTCCTCGCTCCCGACACTGAGCCTGCTGACCCCCATGCACTGATCACACTGCCCATGGCGAGAGAGATGTCTGACTCACAGCATCACACAATTGATCTGCCGGTCTCCTGGCCCTTTCCGTTCCACCCCTGTGGGTGGGATTTCAGCCCCAGGTCCCACACTCTATAACATGTCCAGGCTGTCTCCAATAAAACCTTTTTCTCTAATCATCCAGCCCTGATTTCCTTCGCTCCTGTGTTCAGTGGGGTCCCCTGATCCTAAGCCCCAGCCCCAGGTTGTTGGGGGGATTATCTGGACTGTCCCTGATGCCCCCCACTAACAGGGCCAGTGTGCCCTGGGGCCCAGGATGAGGTGCCTGGAGCGTGATGGGGAGCACGGCAGGAGGTTGGGTGGCAGGGGTGACTGTGAGAGCAGCTTTGGTGGGGGCTGTCGGAGAGAGACAGAACATGCAACAGAAAGAGAAAGAAATGACCAGAGCTGGGGATAGAACCCTGGAATCCTGGCTCCCAGCCTCCAACCCGCTATGGTTCTTCCCCATTCCCCTCCCAGCTCCCCCCACCCTTTAGTGACCTGGGACCTCCCCCACAAGAGAACTCGGCAGGATGATTCCCAGAGCACCTACTGATTGCGGGAACCCAGTCCTCGAGCCCACCCTCCCCCCAGCTCGCTTGGCCTCATCCGGCTCTGGGGCAGGAGACAGCTGAGCTGGGAGCCCAGCCAGGAGCCACAGGGCCCATTCTCTGAAGCCTCGGAACTTTTCACCCCAATGACCATCACTGATCTTTGACCGTATCCCCAGGCCTGGCGCCTCTGGGCCTGCATCTGTGCTCCAAAATCTGGGAACCTGCCCTGCCTTCATTTAGCATCAAGCTTTTAGGTTTGGTCTCATTCTCCACAAGGGACTCAATGCTTTGGAATGGGGCGGGGCCTCTGGAGAGGGGGTGGACTACCCGCGGGGAAAAATAAGAGCCAGTGTCTATGGCTCTGGGCTGAGGTGGACATGCACCAGTACGTGATGCATTGAGGCAGCCCATGGAGGGACCTCATGTCCGGTGTCCCAAAGTTGTGTACAAAAAAACACCAGGCAGACTTACCATGTGTTAAACAACCCTGTACTGGGACGGAGAACGGGATGGGCAGGGGTGGGGTTACAATTGCTAGGAGGGATATGAAACCGTAGTTAATAGTAAGAGCTGTGAGGTGCTCATTGGTCACTGGAAATTCTCCTGGTTTCCAGCCTAGTGCACCTTCCCCAAAGCTAGAGAGGGTTTTCTGTGGGAGGGCCTGTCTGTTTTGCACTCAGGGGTCTGGGATCTGTGCAGAAAAAAGTTGGAGAGCTGTTTAAGTATTGGGTTTGGGTGCTGATTCTGGGCACTAAACCCACCTCCTGACTGGGGCTCTCCAGTGCGAAAAGACTGAAGTGGACCATGCCTATGGATTTTTCCCTAGCTCTGTGCAAAGAAGTGTGATCAGGAAGCTGATTATTTTTAAAAAATTGTCATTTTGGGAGGGCTGTATGTCGAAAAACCTGTTAAAAACAGACTCCGAATTTGCATCACAAACCTTGCCATGGCCTTTGAACCAGCATGTTAAATTTCAAGGTAATCTGGCTAAGCATCTGGTCTTCAGAGAGGATTGAAAACCTCTGTCTCGCTGCAAAAAAGTATGATAAGCACGTTGAAATTTTAAAAATGGGTCATTTTGGGGGGTTGTATCTCAGGAACCCCTTTATAAAATGACCCTAGATCTGTAACAAAAACTTCCCCCCAGCCCCTGATTTGGTGTGCCAATTTTCAAGGTGCTCAGACAATGCTCATGGATTTTAGAACAGTTTGGATATCCCCGTCTCTGCTAAAATGTGTCAGAAAGCTGAAATATTAAAAATGGGCTGTTTAGAGGGGCTGTATCTCAGGAACTCCTTCATCTAATGACTCTAAATTTGCATCACAAACTCTGCCATGGACCCTGAACCAGCATATCAAATTTCAAGATAATCTGACTAAGCATGTAGGTTTCAAGAAGGATTAAAAGTCTCTGTCTCGGTGCAAAAAAAGCATGATAAGCAAGTTGAAATATTAAATATATGTTCTTTTGGGAGGGCTGTGTCTCAGGAACCCCTTTATTAAATTGCCTCAAATTTGCACTGCAAAGTGTATCCCAGGCCCTGAATTGGTGTGCCAATTTTCTAGGTGCTTGGACCATGCATATGGATTTTAGAACAGTTTGGATGTCCCCATCCCTGCTAAAATGCCTAAGAAAGTTGACATAAAATAAAGGGTCCTTTTGAGGGGCTGAATCCTGAGCATCCCTTTATCAGAGGACCCCCAATTTGCTCCACAGACTGTGCCCCAGGCTGCCAACCCACACAGCAGCTTTCGAGCTTATTGGCCTGCATGTGGAATTTTTTTGAGCGGTTTTGGCACAAGCCCCATGAGAAGGAAACGCCCACTTCTGAGCAGCTCGAGCACTCTGCTGCTGCATGGGATCCTCCATCTCCTTCCAGGGGCTCCCTGATTGGAAGGGTCCTGGTCCAGACTGAGCAGCGGGCTGGGTCAGAGCCCAGCGTGGTTACGGGGAGGAGCCGGGGGGTATTGGCGGGGTTGGAGGAGATGGTTTGTGTGTGTTGCTAGCTATGAACTGTGTGGGTGTGTATGTGAATTGCGTGTGTGGGTTTGTGTGAACTGGGTGTTGATATGAGACGTGTGTGTGTGAACGTGAATTGTCGAGGGGGGGGGCTGCGTGAACTGTGTGTTGATGTGAATTGTGTGTGTTTGGTAGGGTTGCAAACATGGCAATTCTAAAATCAGGGACTGTTTCTTAGCCCCCCTGCCCTCCTCCTTCCGATATTATCATTAATCATAACCAGCAGGACTCACCTACATTCGCCAGGGGTATTTCTTGCTGCTGGGGACATTGGCAGAGACTCTGTCAGTGGGGAGGCTGCAGCCCAGGAGGTCTGACCCCCCTGCCAGGCACAGGCCCTTCCTGCCCCTGGGCCTGGAGCGCAGCCCTGTCTGATTTCCCCGTGCAGCGCTGAAGGGCCGGGCTGGGCGGGAAGTGCAAAGATGCCCTGGTGAGTACTGGCCCCTGCTGGACAGGGCCCCCACTGACTCCAGCCCCCGAGCACGGCTCCGTCCGCTTTCCCTGTGCAGTTGCTGATGGGCAGGGCCAGTGTATGGGGCCGTGTGCCCTGGGGCTGCACTGAAGGCCAGGGTGGTAGGTAGGGTGACCAGACAGCAAGCGTGAAAAATCGGGACGGGGGTAGGGGGTAAGAAAAAGACCCAAAAATCGGGACTGTCCCTAAAATTGGGATATCTGGTTACCCTAGTGGGAGGGGAATGGAGAGATGCTCCCGTGAGTACTGGCCCTGCTGTTGAAATATGGGATAAAAGGCGTCCTGCGCTGACTGCGTCCGGGACAGGCAATTTTCTATTTAAATAAGGGACGTCCCTTGTCATACGGGACTATTGGCAGCCCTAGTTTGTATGAACTGTGCCTATGTTTATAGGAATTTTGTGTTTATGTGAATTGTGTGTGTGTGTGTATGTGTGTGTTTATACAAACTGTGTGTAAGTGTGACCTGTGTGTGTGTTTATGTAAGCAGAGTCAGGATGAGCTCTACCCTGACATCTGGTGGTGAATTGTGGCGAGTTGTGAAAAAGAACTTCAGGGCTGGTCTTGTCTGCATAGGCACACCCACGCTGCCCAGCATGAGCCCACAGCCGCCCAAATGGTCACTTTGGCTGCTGTGGGATCCCCGGTTTCTCTGTTACTGAGGCGGGGAGAATAAAGGGTTGTTACCCTGATTATGTGAATCAAGGACAATGAAACTGTTTTATGACAGAGGAACTTGCCATCGACTAAGTAGCACTTGCTAGACAAGGGACATGGGTTTCAAAACCCAGTGAATTGAGAGAGGTGGGGGGTAGGCATTTGTACTGGATGATATGTGCCCCCTTGAGGGGCTGAGATACCAATTACCCTTTTTCCCTTCTGTAAATGGGGGAGTTTGTGCGGGAGACTAAGAGAGCTAGGCAGAGGAATAGACAGGCTAGTGAAGGGAGTGGGTGGTGTTTTGCCAGTGTTCTGGTGCCCGTTGGGGTTTGTTTTGCTGTGGGTGGTGGTGTTTTGGTTTGGTTTGTGTTTCCTGGGCTAACAGGTTTTAGGTGGGAAGGCTGTGACTGATACAGAGGCAGCAGTGGAAGACACAGTGAGGATGACTGGATGTGGAAGCTGCGGCATGTACATGATCCTGGAGGGGTTACCTGAAAAGGGTTTTGTCTGCATGAAGTGCCGCCTGATAGAACTGATGGAAGAAAAGATCCGAAGATTGGAGATGCAGGTGGAAACTCTGGTTGAGTTTAGAAGGGGGTTTGAGCAGATGATGGAGCAAAGACATGAGGAGGCTGAAGGGAAAAGCTCAGACTTGCAGATGGAAGCAGGACCAAAGATTTCTGAGGGGAGACTGCTCGGTGAGGAAAGTGGACAGTGGAAGCATGTGACTAAGAGAACCAGGCAGAGGAAAAGACGGGCTAGTGAAGGAGAAATAGAGCTGAAGAACAGGTTTGCGGAGTTGGAAAATGAAGAAGGGGCACAGCAGGTGGTCGCTGAAGGTGAGAGGGCAAGGAAGAAGAGAAGAGCAGCTGGTCCTATAGGAAGAGGGGAAGAGTCAATGGAGATAACAACACCAAATATGAGCCCCAGGAGGATATGGGATGGGTTGCAGAGGATTGCAAGGGACAATAGGAATTGAGAGGACTTGCAGCCAGAGGGAACAGGGGATAGACCAGAGAATTGCACCATCAACAGGAAAGGGCAGGTCTACGTGATTGGGGACTCCTTACTGAGAAGAATAGACAGACCTGTAACTAGAGCTGATCCGGAGAACAGAAGGCTGTGCTGTCTGCTGAGTGCTAAGATACGGGATGTGGACTTGAGGCTGAAGAGGATCCTAACGGGAGCGGGAAAGAATCTGGTAACAAAATGGAGGAACTAGAGCTACTGGTGCAGGAAGTGAAACCAGATATTATAGGGATAACAGAAACATGGTGGAATAGTAGTCATGACTGGAGTACAGGTATTGAAGGCTATGTGCTGTTTAGGAAAGACAGAAATAAAGGCAAAGGTGGCGGAGTAGCATTGTATATCAATGATGAGGTAGACTGTAAAGAAATAAGAAGTGATGGAATGGGTAAGACGGAGTCTGT